CTGAACCTAAAGAACATTTTTTTAAGTCTCAGTTTCTGTGGGTCAGGAATTTGGGCATGGCTTAACTGGAGGACCTTGGCACAGGGTTTCTCACAAGGCTGCAGTCAAGGAGTTGGCCAGAGTTGCAAACGTCTCAAGGTGCAAGTGGCAGAGGATCCTTTCCAAGCTCACTCTTGTGGCTCTTGGCAGGTCTCAAGTTCTCACTGGCAGCTGGTAAAAGACATTAGTGAGAGGTGGGTCCCTTTACAGGGCAACTATAGTGGGCTGAATAGTTTATTACCTCAAAATGCATATGTACAGAAGCTCAAAATAGGACCTTATTTGGAAATAGGATTTTGGCAGATATAATAGGATGAGATCACACCAAATTAGTGTGGACCCTAAATCTGCTGACTGGTATTCTTATAAAGAGAAGAGACAGAGAGATATACCAGGAAGGCCATGTGAGGACAGTGGCAGAGACTGGGATGATGCACCTAGAAGCCAAAGAATGCCGATTATCTAGAGCCACCAGAAGAAAAACCTTTTCTCTAGCTTTCAGAGGGAGCATGGCTCTACTGACACCTTGGTTGCAGACTTTTAACCTCCAGGACTGTGAAAGAATACATTTCTGTTTTAGTAATAATTTATGATACTTTGTTATAGTAGCCCTAGAAAACTGACAAAGCAGCTCACAACTGAGTTGGCTTGCCTTAGGGCAAATGAGTAAAAGACTGAGAAGGCACCTGAGGTGGAGGCCTGTCTTCCTGTAACCTGATCTTGGATATGACATCCTATTACCAAAAGCAAGCCACTAGATCCAGCCCATAATCAGGGTGGGAGGATTACACAAGATCATAAAAACCAAGAAGTGAGCATCATAGAGGCTATTTCGAGGTTGCCTGCCATGGCTATCTCATTAGCAAATATCAGAGGTACTTCATGGGAAGAAAGCTCTACCTCCTCAGGACTCTGCTTTTTCCATTCATTGACTCCTTCAATAAATGTTTATTAAGCACCTGCAATAGGCTGGACTTTAAAAATAAAACCGGTAAAACAGATATGACTATTTCTTTGTTGAGATTACTTATAATGTAGAAGAAGAAAATATCAGTAAATAGTGAAAAATAGGGCTGGCTTGGTGGCACAGTGGTCATGTGCTGCTCAGGTGAAACTGGATTTGTATGGACAACCATGGGATTGATTCCCCAGTCAATCTGTACATGCCAGGAATGTGCACCCATGATCTTACCTGCTAGGGAGGGGAAGGACTGCAGCATGGGACCCTGTGGAGGGTGCTTATTTCTCTTTCTCAGGAAATAAATAAATAACCTTTAACATAACAAAAAAAAAAAGTAAAAAATAAATACATCAACAAAAATTGTGATAGCACAAGAAAATGTTATGATAATAATAGAAACATCTGATTTAGATACAGAAAGGAAAGGAAAGGAAAGCAAAGTTAAGTATAGTCTTTCTGGAAAATCAGTATTTAGAATAAAGCTGAAGAATGAGTAGAAATTAGGCTGTGTGTTTGGGAGGGGGTAAATTTCCTAGCAGAGGAAGAACATGTGGAAACAAGTGGACAGCTTGAGCTGCTGGACTCAGAACTGCTTGAAGATAAGGATCACCTTTCTTTTTCATTTCTACACCTCTAGTGCCTGGCACAGAGAGGAACTTAATACATTGTTATGAATGAATGAATTTAAGGTACTTGCTATTTCCTGTTATGGATACTGTCAAGTGATTCAGACATCCCCCCATGTTCATTGCTGTATCATTGTTTCACTGCTTCTATTTATATTAGCTAGAACAGGCAAAGTTACAGTAAGGGAAGAATTCAGTTAAACACAACATAAGTTTATTTATTTATTTTTCCTTACATAACAGCCTGAGTGGACATGTAGGAGGACGAGGCAGAGTTTTCTTCCACCCAGGAATCTTCCATCTTGAGGCCTTGCTTCTCCAGAATCTAGTTGTCTTCGCTTCTAGCTGGCAGAAGAAGTAACAGCAACGAGAAGTACCTTTTAAAAGTTTTTGTGGTTCAGAACTGGAAACTGCACATCTCTTCTGCTCACTTTCCGCTGGAGAGAGCATAGGCAGATGGCCACACTTACTTTACAGGGGCTGAGGAGTGTAGTATAGATACATGATAACAAAGAGAAATAATAGTTTTGGGAGACAACTAAGTCTCCACCACGATATTTGATTACTTGCTTGACCTATCTTCCAGTAGGTCTCATAAGCTCAAATTAACAAAGATAGAAAAGAACTCTTGACTCATCACTCTCACATCCATCAAGTCTTTCATTCACGGAATGGCATTACTGGGTCAACGAAAAAAGTCATCATGCATTTTTGCACAAAGAAACATAGAAAAAATACATCATGACTTTTCAAACAACCTAATATAGCCTTCCTGTTGCTTAAGTCAACTGTCTGTGGAAGTTATCTTGGTTTATTTTTTACCCTCATCTAATCCAGGAAGTCCTGTCAATGCTACCTGCAAAATATATCTTTTTTTTTTTAAAGAATTATTTTTCTTTCTCTTTCTCTCCTCCTTTCTTTAATCTGACCAGAGAGGAATAGAGCAAGAGAGAGAGACCAGGAAAATGAGAAAGCAAACTGCCAGTTCTGGGACTCAAATCTTGGTCGGCCATGTAGGAGTCCAGGACCCTGAACCACCACACCACCTGCCAGCCCACAAAACATGTCTTAAATCCATTTTCTCTCTCCATCTTTTCAGCTACCTCCTTAGCTCATTCATCATAATAACCTCTTTTTTTTTTTTTTAAGAGGTTTTTGCTATAGGGCGTGTGCGCTTGCCAGACAGACAGAGAGATAGAAAGACAGAAAGCGAGAAATCACCCTCCGGGGGGATGGCCATGCCACAATCCCTTCTCCTCCGTTCTCCTCTCAAGATCTTGGGCATGCGCGCACAAGCGCCTGGCGTGAGTTTAGCCACCGGGTCCAGGCCGCAAACCATGGTTGACTACATGGGAGTCCAGCGACATAGCCATTACGCTAACTGCTGGTACCCATAATAACCTTTTTTTAAAAAAAAATTATTTTATTTTTAACTTTTAAAATTTTTATGAGAGAGATTTTTATTATATAGGGTGCATGCATTCACCAGAGAGACAGGGATAGAAGGCAAGATATCACCTTCCAGGGAGGATGGCCACGCCACAACCCCTTCTCCTTTACTCTTCTCCTGGAATTCTGGGCATGCACACGTGTGCCTGGTCTGACTGGGTACACAACTTGGACTGCATTGACCATATGGGAGTCCACAGCTTTAACCACCACCACCTGCTGGCCCCTAATAATCTCTCATCTAGATGATTCCAATAACCTCCTTTCTAATAGCTGTTTATACCTCCACTCTCACTTGCTACATACCATTCGCTACACAGTAGAGTGATCTTTTATTTATTTCTTTACTTATTTATACTTATTTATTAGAAAGAGATTTTTGCTATAGAGTGTGTATGCTCACCAGAGATAGAGAAAGACAAGAGAGACAGAAAGCAAGAAATCACCCGCCAGGGGAAATAGCCATGCCACAATGCCTTCTCCTCCATTGTCCTCTAGGGATCTTGGCCATGCGCGTGTGCGTGCGCGCGTGTACACACACACACACACACACACACACACACACACCCAGCATGAGTTTTAAGTCACCCGGTCCAACACTCGAACTGTGGTCGATGCCCTGGGAGTCTGGCAATGAAACCATTATGCCCAGAATGGTCTCTGCTGAGCTCAGAGTGATTTTTAAAACCTAAGTCTGGTCACATCACTCTTAAGTTTAAACTCTTCCAATGCCTTAGAATAAAAGTCCTTACAATGACCCCTCAGGCCTGTTTTGTCTCCTTTTCTTGTAAGGAGACAAGAGCAGTTACCCAGTCTAGTAGGGTCAGCACACAATGGCGCTCAACAGACAAGCGAGTGAATGAACGAACCATCACGAGGTGTTGAGTTGACGCTCTTGCAAGGGCCTTCATAGAGCACCAGGGCATAAACCTGGGTCCAATTTTGGCTTGTCCACTTCTCAGCTCTGGGCAAACCAGTTCAGCTCTCAGAGTCTCAGTTATTCAATACTAAAGGGACTTTAAAAACTTCGTGAAGGGACCAGCAGTTAGCTTAATAGCTATGTCGCTGAACTCCAATATCAGTTCCCGACCTAGGGGCTTAAACTCACGCCAGGAGCGTGTGCGTGCTGTACCAAAGATCCCAAGAGGAGAATGGAGGAGAAGGGATTGCGGAGTGGCCATCCTCCCCTGGGGGATGATTTCTCGCTTTCTGTCTGTGTCTGGGTCCAATTTTCTGTCTTTCTGGTGAGCGAACGCGCCCTATAGCAAAAACCTCTACCAAAACAAACAAACAAACAAACAAAATCCAACTTCGCGGAAACATGGACTCTAGGTACAAGTTTATTGTGGTGCTAAAAAAAAAAAAAAAAAAAAAAAAATTGTAACTCATAACTCTTCGTAATACACATTTTCCATGAAATATTCTGAGACCCCCTCCTATCTTAACGCGGAGTATGAACATCCTTCACAGAGCCGAATGCCTACCTTGTAAAGGTGAAAGGAGGTCGCGGAGGACAAGAGAGCCCCAGCAAGTTAACGCTCCGCAACTGGTGCGCTCTGCTACGACACATGAGACACACTCGTTCCCGACATTATGGCAACATCAGCCCGGGCCTCAGCTTCTTCTTCTCTATCCTGGCTTGACCTCCACGGCTCTCCTCTGCACGATGTATCGGGAGACATAAGCCCCCTCAGCGCAGTCAGAAAGGGCCGAGGAGCCAACGCTGCCCCTGTCCTACGCTCCTGGAGGCGACCACGTCAGGTCCCGCCCCTTTGCGTCATTAACGCGGCGCCAACACAGCGGAAGGCCCGGGGGCCTGTCCTGCGAGGGGCGCGCCCTGGGGAAGGCCCAGGCGGGCGCCTGCAAGTGAGCCGCGCGGCTCGGGGGCTTCTCGGGAACCCCAGTGGACTGCTGCGAGGGACGCGTGGAGCCGTGGGGACACAGAGCTGAGCGGCAGGAGGGGCTGTCCGGCGCTCCAGCGGGTCACAGCGCAGACGGGCGAGCGGGCGGCCGGCGGGGCTGCCCGGCGCGGGTGTCCCGGCGATGTGTGGCGCTGAAGCGGCAGCGGG